AAAAAAAAAAAAAAAAAAAAAAAGGAAGGGAGGAAGGAAGGAAAGAAGGGAGGGAGGGAGGGAGGCAGGAAGAAAGAAAGTTAAACACTCCCAACATATAATAACCCAGAGTAAACATTCCCATTCCAAAAGAATAGGCACCTAAAAAGGAATTAGATCAAAACACAGCAAAGCAAACATTAAATATTACAGCTCCATATCCAGCACCTATTTTAGATCTAAACCATAATGATAGTGTTATGATTTATATCTGGATGCCCCCCAAATCCTCATGAGCTCAAAGGTGGAGCTTCTGGAAGGTATTGGATTATGCAGGTGATACAGCTGACTTGCTGTTAGGAGGTGGGGCTGGTTGGAAGAGGTGGGTCACTGTGCGCGTGTCCCAGAAAGGTACACCTCCCTTCCTAGCTCCTCTTTTGACCTTTTCTCTGCTTCCCTGATGCCATAGAGCCAGCAGCTCCCCACTGTCCAAGTCCTTCCAACTCGGTCATTTGGCCTTGAAGCTGGCCGAACACGGACTAAAACCTGTATAAACTGTGAGCCAAAATAAACCTTATTTTAAGTTGCAGGTGTTCGGTATTTTATCCCATCGATGACGAAGACAAATACAAAATGCTGAATTTTAAACTGAGTTATGCCATTTCCATCATGATACCTTCTTTGTGTTTTATTTCACATAGCTTTTTTTCTGATTATTCAACAAATATATTGTCACTATTTAAATAAAAGGGGTACATGGCTGTTGATTCAGTGTTTGGGAAAAGACAGTGACAAGAAAATGAGACACTAGGACCAACATGAAGTGTACAAAATTCTAGCATGTGCTTAGAATCTTTGTTCACATCCTCGCTAAGGAAATTCAAGAGAACATAGATATGGTGCCATATAATTGCTTATAAAAATAAGCATGGAGGGGCTGGGGATTTAGCTTGATGGGACTGTGCCTGCCTCGAAGACAGAAGGTCCTGAGTTCAATCCCTCATACCAAAAAAAAAGGCACAGAGAATCTATTATATGAATGCTGTCCTTATCCACATAATCATTAATTGAGGCAGCTGTTTTATCATTTACCATGAGACAACAGAGATTATTAAGATCATGTGCTCTGTAATCAACCTGAGATGACAAAAATGCTATGCCCTTTCTTTCTTTCTTTCTTTGGTTCTTTTGTTCTTTCATTCTTTCTTTCTTTCTCTCATTCATTATTGTTGGTGTAGTTTTGAGTCAGGGTCTTGCTATGTGGTTCACACTGGGCTTGAGCTCACTATGTACTTGAGGCTGGCTTCAATCTAGCAGCAATCATCCTGTCTCAGCCTCCCAAGTGCTGGGGTTACAGGCATGCATCATCAAGCCTAGATTTTACCATCGGTTTCTACCTCTTCGAGCAAATTATTCAGCCTTCCTGTGGCCTCAGTAAAGCTGGGGACTGAACCTACCTGGTGGGGTTGCTGTAAAGGATTATTGGGATACAATACGTCAGTGTGACCATTAACCCTCATATGTCAACTTCACTGAATTAAGAAATGCCCAACAGATTAGTAAAGCATGTTCCTGGGTGTGTCTGTGTGGGTCGTGGAACCTTGACCTCAGGTACTACATACGGTCCCTACCTCGCTCCTCTCCAACACTGTTCCTCTGCTATGTTTCTCAGCCATGGTGAACTAAGCATCTGTGTTTCACCACACCCTTCTGCCATGATGTTCCTGATTTGAAGCTAACCAAACATGGACTGACTTCCCTGAAGCCATGAGCTTTCTTCCTATAAGTTGCGGTTTGTTTTTCTTTCTTTAAATTGGGTATTGTGTCTCCTCAATAGGAAAGCTGACTAATACATAGGCCTCTAGAACATTCCACACATTTTAAAAATGTTAATATCATTAGTGTTTAAATACCAAATTTTTCAAAATTCTAAGGAGTCTTTATATTCAACTTAGTATATATGGAATTTTGAGAACTCTCAGGGGTTTTGAAAGGAGGCAATTTTTCAATGTAAAAATAAACAGGCTCCGATGGGATTTAAAAAAAAAAGTCATTATACAGTGTTGTTCTGGCCTCCCCAGTTTTCTCTGTGGAAGAGGCAAATATTCATAAAATCAAACACAACTGTTCCCTGAATGCCAATGTAGCCTCCACACATGTGTTTTTATACTTTCTCCAGCAGGCTATTTAGTGTCTTTGTGAAGAAGCTTTCTTAATTGTATGACATTAGCCATTTACCACATAGTAAGCATGCACCAGAAAATAGTAGCCAGGATTTCCATTTCTCAGGAAATGTTCTGGAAGGCTTGAGAGTGGAAACAGAAAATGCTGCACATGGACTAATGAGAGCCTAGGCCCCCTCTAAGTGGAGTCTTAACTTGGCTTGTACAGGATCTCCCTACCCTAGGACGCTGAACGGAGCATCTTGTTCTAGCAGGGGAATTTCTTCTTCACAGACACGACTGTTTGTCTCATGGAGTAACTATTAGTCACATTTCTGCTGAGCTGACAAAAATGTGTCTAGCGGCGTCTGTGGACAGGAGACTTTCCCTCCCTCTCCAGTCACATGTGTGGTTTAGCTCAGCATCGAACTCACTCTGCAAATTCCTTGGGTGTTACTCTATGTAAACAGTGAAGTAAAAACCAGTTTTTCTGCATTGTTTCAACTTGGTAATTATGACACAGAACGTCTCCCATAATGGAGAAATGTCTGTGGGATACCAGACAAAATCTTTTAAATACAAAGAAGAGGAATCACATAGAGCACCTATCTCACATCTGAGGTACAGTGACAGGAAGCCTCCCATTAACCAATTCATATCTCATCAGAGAAAAATGGGGCACTCTGCTTAGGTCTTCTTTGGGGAAAGAAAAAAGTCTTCCATCATTTTAATAGAGATTCATCTGCAAATCTTAATTTAAAAATCCGTTCAGTCAGGGATAGGGGTACAGCTCAGTGATAGAGCACCTGCCTAGCACGTGCAAAGCCCTGGGTTCTGTCCCCAGTATCACAAAAGAAAAAAAAGTTCAAATTATGGTAAATGAACAACATGTTAGGAAAGCAATCTTGTTTTAGAGCTTATACTTAAAATATATTTGATCATGAGGATAAATCCACACTCGAGAGGCTGAGGTAGTGACTGCCACAAGTGCAAGTGCAGCCTGAGCTGCAAAGTGAGTTCAGGACCAGTCTGAACCACAAAATGAGACCCTGTCTCAACACCAGCCTCAAAAAGATAAATCTAAATGTTTGTTTCCCCCTTCAATCCAAGCTGTAAGCAAAAGCTCTTAAGTCATCTCCTAGGTCAAAATACTTACATCATGTTGATGGAGCAAGGAGAATTTTTGAAAATGCAATAACCTTTTCAAGAATTCTGTTATAAAAACACTCCAATATAATTAGGAGAAAGTTTGAAATATTCTTTTCAAAGGCAGGAACTTCACCTGTTATCCTCTGAAGATGTACTGCCATCCTCTGGAACTTACTTATAAAAAATAAGACATAAATAAATATAAATTTTACCTAGGACAAAGAAGGTATTACAAAATGAGCATAATACTTCCTTTAATAACAAACCAAAAATTTCTCCATCTTACTTATACCCAGGGAATATTACTAGGGGCTAAAAGAAAGCCCTAAAGACACACATACTGCTTATCCTGTTTGGTTATTTATATGGAGCGCAGGATGTGCAGCCAGGGGGAATCTGCCTTTCCAAAAGTAGGTTTGAGATTAGCAGCTAGATATTTCAAAACAAAGAAAAATCTAGCCTGTTTTTGGTCTTTCTGTTTTCCAAATATTTTCGACATCATCCTTTGAAGAGAAGAAGCCTAGAACTGAAAAGGATGCGGGGTAAAATGTAGTGATTTCAGTAGAGGGAAAGCCATACAAGGTCCACGTGTCTGCACATGTCCACATTCCCAAAGTCCAGCCCTGCCCCAGAATATACTAGACATTCCTAAACAATGTGTAAATGGATTACCAAATAAATGAATGGCTCAAAAGTAATAAAACCAATCATGGTTCAACAGTGGAAAGATGAAGAAAAACAATTGAAAGTAGCATCTGAAGGCATAATTCATTTAAGATGTGCTTCATTTTTTACTTTCCTTTTTTACCATTGAATGCCTGGTGGGCACTGTTGGTATAATATTCCAAGATGGCACAGACAAAAAAAGGATAAAAGTACCAGCCACCATTGCAGGTGGCTTCTTACCACATCTCTACTGACAAAATTAGATGGCATGAGTTACACAATTTTCTATACTAGAAACGGGCTTACGGATCATGACCTCCACCCCTTCACTTTGCAGATAAGAAAAGACAGGTAGGAAAATTCAATACTTGGCTACAGTTCTTGACATAGCCAACATAGACATTTAAAAGCCATATCTTAGCATGTTTATTGCTTTTGCGGGGAGAGGCCATATGACACCAAGTAAAATTCATCACACACCTGCCTGATATCAGCCCTCTGGCTCCAAATATTGCATTGCTTTTGTTTTGTTTGGCCAATTGATCAATTCCTTCTGCACTGATTTTGACAAGAGCCTCCCGAAAATAATATTCTTGAACTTTATTTTGCACAAAAATAAAGGGGTAGGGGGAGAAAAGCCTGTTATGCCTCTGGCCCTAAGTCCTGGGACTCTGGTTTTGTGAGTCCAAAGTGAAGGGGATGACTCTAAGCACTTTTTATTAGTACACATCTGCAGCACACAGTGTTTACAGTTCTTGTGTGGATTTGGTACATGTACATGTTGGCACAGAATAATTTCTTTTTTCATCCCTTTTCCCTTCCCTCGGTCACCTTTCCTCCATCGCTTGATCTCTATCCATTTAAGAAAGATCTATCTCCTTACTTCCTATTATCTTTTATTG